CCTGGCTGCACTGAGCTGGGCTTACCTGAGTGCCCCCCTGCAGTGGTGAGCACAGGGCTGGGTTTTGCCTCCCGTGTGGGAGCAGGAACATCATCCATCATCCCCCTGCTGCTGTGACAGCCCGAGCGGCCCCACAAACAGCCACTTAATGCATTTCGTGGTGCCTTGGTGTGTTGTCTTGCAGTTCTTAACCTGCTCCGCCGGGGTTTGATACGGGAACAGCAGGAGGGAAGGAGGGAACGAGAAAATAAAAGGTCAGTGGGTGCCTGGAGTGTGTAAAAGCTGAATTGCACTTCATCAAATCTAATAAATATTCCCTGTGAGCAGGGCAGGGACCTCTTTTACTGAAATGCTGTGCGATTTCCCTGCCTTTGAGCTCAGCCCAGGACTTGGATTATGGGAGATCCCAGGCTCTCCCATCCCCTGCCCAGGGTCACCAGCACCCCAGAGAGACAGAGGGGTGCCCAGGGAGGGCACCCAGTCCCACAGGATAAGCCAGTTACAGCCCCTCACTGTGTATGAGGCTGCATTTTCTACCATTCCTAAAAATATTCCTGAGCCTTCAAGTGCAAACTCTGTAGCTTGGATTTGAAAACCAAAATGGGAACAGCTGAGCTGCATCCCATCATGTTCTCTCACCTCCTCTCCTTTCTCTCTTCACTTCTTCCAGCTTGGGGAGAGGATGGCAAAGGAGTGACCAAAAATGCAGAAAAATGGAGCAAAGAGACATTTTACTCTTGTTTATTTTGTTCCTTGATTGAGAGAACAGGAAGTGTTTATAAGCACAGAAATGTATTTTATTAGAAAAAGGGATTTTTTTAATGCATCTTCTCACTCAGCCAGGAATGGCCATGAATTCCCCTGAATTACACCAGAGCCATGGGGAGGAATCCGAGTGGGACCAGGCAAGTTTGGGGACAGGAAGGGTGAGATTGGGCCCTTAAAATATTTATGCTGCAGAATAACACACATTTTAAGCCTGTGAATTCTGCAAATGTTTATCGAGCATTAGTATTTGGAAAACTGCACTAAAATTTGCCACTGGTGCTTTTACTCATTAGGAGCATTCAGAGCCTGTGAAGTCTGTAACACATCCATGCAGTGACAGCAGCTGGAGGATGTGCCTGGGCTGGCAAAAGGAGATTTCTGCTGCTGCTTCCCGAGCCCAAAGTGAGCCCCTTCCCACGCCGACCTCGCTGTGTGACTGCAGCCATTCCAGCAGCAGAGCCTGCACCAGGTTTTGGACTCATCTGATGCTGGGCAAAACCAATTCCATGTGAGTGGGGTGAGACAGAGATTCCTGTGAGCTCCAGCAAAGGGAACTGGGCCTTGGTGATGTGTTTTTCCCAAGCCTGATGGCTGCTGTGGGTCTGGCAGGGCTGTGGGAGCAATTGGCCCTGCACAAAGCCCTGTCCCCCCTTCCCAGCATGCCAGCTCCACCCAGGCAGCTTGTTGGATATGGGGGGAAGAGGGTGATGTGGCTCACGAGGGCTCTTGGAGCTCTGGTGCTCACCCCCAAACTGGAAGCTTTGCTGGGGACCCCCCAGTGCCTGCCCAGAGCAGGAGGGGGGATTTCAGTGCTCCCCAGTCCCCCACGTGCTCCCCACCACTGCAGAGGCCTGGGGCTGAAATTCAGAGTCATCCTGGCTCTGATCTCCTGCTTCCTGCAGCCATTGCCAAACCCCCCGAGCCCAGGGCGGCTTGGAGGGGAGAGACAGGACATGGAGACAAATGCTCGGTGCCTCTGGCACGGGGAGCTCGTTCCTCCCTCGGTTCCCTGACACTGCAGTTGATACATGGCTTAATGGACTGCACTTCCACTGCCAGTTTCCAGAGAAAATTACTTCCAATTATGCCAAACGTTTAACTTTAGGAACAGGCAGAACTGCACCGGCCCCATCTCGCACATCACATTTCTGTTGAACTTCTGACCTCTGCTGTGGTTTGGCACCGTAACCCAAGGGGAGTTTTGGGGGCTGCAGGTTGCAAACTGTGCCAGGGCTGCAGCAGGATGGAATTTTTGCATGATAATGCTGGCAGGGAGATCTCCAGCTGGGATTTTTTATTTTCATTTATCCTCGTTTTGCAGAGACAATGGGAATGTGCCAAAAGCTGCGTTCATGGACTGGGCAAACCCAGAGCCAAGAGGTGCCTGTTGCTCCCACCCACTCTGGCGCTTCCACTGCAGACTTGGACTCAGATCCCTTATTTTCAGCTCCATGACTCCTTCCTTTCTGAGCACTCTTGCATAATTAAGAGGTGAGGTTGGCAGGCAGCATGCAGCTAATACAGATATGATTAATTTTCATCTCCCTGTTTGATTTGGAAGGTTGTCCTTTCCGATGCCGAGGCTCCGTTGCAGATGGATGGAAAGCTGCCAACCAGCCACATCTTGGAGGGACGAAGGGACAAGACATGGGAAAGTTTAGTGCTCTGAAAAAGTGACCTTTCTCGGTAACTAATTTGTCACTTCCCAGCACCATCTGCTGACTCGTCAGCTGCATCCATCATAACCATGCAAAAAAGGACTGGAAAAGTCAATTAAAATGAGAGCCGGTGTCAAATGGGGTTTGTGCAAATTGTTTAGGAAAGGGAGGGGAGAAACCCCCCCTGTGGTGTGTGTAAAGTTCTTTCATCACCCCACACATGGTCCCAGGGACAGAAGCTGTGCTGACGCCTCTGGGAGTTTTCCAGCTCGGCCCCAGCGATAACCTGCCAGGAATGCACGGGGAGCCGGGGAGCACCTTAGTGACAGGCACGTGTTTTGCAGGAGGGCTCTGGCCCAAATCGAGTGCTATTGATGGCTGTGACAGCAGCAGGCCCTTGTGGCCCCGGGGGGTGTTGGTGTGGTATTGACTCTCCGTGCTGCAGCCAGGTGACAAATGTCATTCCCGCGGCTCGGCCGCCCCTGTTGCGGATCTCCCGCACACACTGCCCAGCCAGGCAGGAATGCTGTGCACTCCCTGCTCTCACACCCCACGGAGCTGCTTGATGCAGATGGATTTCATTGCTTCCCCTCGCTCCCCCCTCCTGTCTCTCGCCTGGCTGCTCTCAGGTTCCTCATGAACAGCACCAGGATGTGTCTGGCCTGATCCCAAACCCTCCGGCATCAGCTCCTGTCTGACGGTCTCGGGGGAGCACAGAGGGGGAGAGAGATGTCTGGAGAGGGATGTCAGTGCAGGGTTTATGTCCCTGAGGGGGACCTGTGTGCCCAGGACTGGGGAAGGCTCGATGAGGGTGGGAAAAGGGGCCACGGGAAGACTCAAAGTGGCAACTTTGACATTATTGTGATTTGTCAAATGCAGTGGAAATATAATTGACAGGGGTGTCATTTTATTGCTGGTATATTCACACGGTGAAATCTTCACCCTGCAGGGCTCAGGATCTACAAAGACAAGGCAGGAGAGAGGAATCTCTCCATGTCATAGGTGGGGAAGCAGAGGCAGCAGGAGATCTATCTGGGACCCACTGAGAACTGCTGCCAGCCTGGAGCCAGAACCTGGGGAGGCAGCAAAGGGGATCTGCCTGGAAACGAGGAACTCCTAAAAATCCAATGCCGATAACAACATTCCCTGCCTGGGAAACCTGTTTCCATGCAGGCCAGGAGCCTCCTGGCAGCTGGACAGGGGGGCACCTGCGCAGGTGAGTGACTGCACGTGGATATAAAGGGAGGGAAGGCCAGCAGGAGCACCCAGGAGGGAACAGCAGGGAGAAGAGCTCTGACCTCCAGCGTCCCGTGGCTGCACTGCCCAGGTAGGTGCACGGTCCCTGCTGCCACACCTTGGGGGGGTGGGCACTTGGTGGGCACTCAGATGTGCTGGTGCTCCTGGCGTGTCTTGGCCCCAGCAGAGAGAGCTCTGAGGAGGAGGAGGAGGGAACAAAAGCAATGCTGAAACAAAGGGGAAGGTGCTTTTGGCTCCCTCCCCATCACAGTAGCATTGATTCCAGCAGCTCCTGCCTCCCTCCCTGCCATGGGCACCCAGCAGGCACCGAGGCTGCAGAGCACAGGCAGCCCGGGTGCCCCCTGAGCTCAACTGACAAAATGAGTCACAGGCAGGTCCTACTGACAGGAATGACTGGATTTTTTGGAAGACAGCTCCGTAGATAAACATCCTGCCTTGTCACTGTGCTCACACCGGCTGTTCACCCCTCCTGCCCCAAACTGCCATTTCTCCCCCGTTCCCAGGGGGATGGGCAGACCTGGCACCGCCTGTGGTACTTTGTTGTGCTGATGCTGAACTTGGGATCCTCCTGCTTTGTGTTTTCCCTCTGGAGCTGGGAATTCACTACCAACAAAGTACACTCTGCCCGGAGAGGCTGAGCGAGAGATCTCTGGGCTGGGAAACATGTCCTGCCTGCAAAATAAGGGAGGGCCACTCAGAAAGGACATTTTTTGACTGAAGAAGTGTGTGTGGGTGTTTCTGTGGGGGAAGAGGGAGCGAATCAACTCCCAAAGGGATAGTCAAGCCGAGATGAAGGTGGTGACGGGGTTTATTTCTTTGTATACAGCAATATTTTACTACAGTGATAGAACAAATGAAAAGGCACAGAAGATTGATGCTGTTGAGGTAACACGTTGCATTGCAAGGGGAGAGCCTAAGAAATCCTGTCCTGATCCCTGCAGGAAATGGTGCCTCTGGTGGGACACCCAGGGTGATGTCCCAGGGCAGGGGGACCTGTGGGGCTGCGGTGCCCCAGCGTGGGTGGGCAGGGGGAGATGGCCCCAGTGCTGCCCTGAGCAGTGAGGAGAGGATGTGACTGGCAGGTGCTATGGAAAGAGAATATTTATTAACTTCCACTGGCCATCGGTTCAATACCAGCTGATATTTATGGCAAATCTAATTCAGGAGTCAAATTTGACCTAACAATGTCTTTTCAATGATGTCCAAACCAAGAGGTTGCCAAAACTAATTAAGGATCAGGCTCCAATCAGGTGAAGTAGTTAAGCTGTGGGACCAGACTTCATTAAATCCATCCAGGGAGAGTATTTTAATATTTAAAGAGAACATTTAATGTTTACGTAAGTCTTCTCGTGACGAGAAGTCACAGTTAAATCACTCCAGAAGGTGGTTTTTAGAGCCCTTTATTCCAGGCTTATACAGAGCTGGGCTGGCAAACACCTGGCAAGCACCTTTCTCTCTTGGACCCAATGAGGCTTCTTAAAAGATCCAGTCCACCAAGGCTTCCAGGGGTGAGGAACAGCAAACCAAAAATTAACAAGACAGCTGTCGTGGTTTTTCTCTCTCCCAGCAGCAGTCTCCCGTGCTGGCAGTGGGACTGATGGGAGTGTTTTGCTCTGGATGTGTGAGAGTCTCACTCCAGCAGAGCTGGAGGGAGGCTGGAGCAGCACTGCAGGGCTGGGCTTGACGTCCCTGGAGATGGTGCTCAAGAACAAACCTGTTTACACAAACAGGTTGGAGAAGAGAATTGTCAGTCAAGACACTTCTATTCTCAGCTCAGGAGCAACTGGAAGAGTAAATATACCTGTGGTTAGCTGGGGGATGAATTTGATGGCAGCTGATGCAAGGCCAAAGGGATTTCTGATCGAATGTCCCTGTCCACACTTTACCCTCGTGTCTTCTTTCCTGTGTTGTTCAGACTCTCACGATGGTTTCAAGGAAGGTGGTGGCCAGTTTGCTCCTGGTGTACCTGGTGTCTCTGCTGGCTGAACAGGCTGAAGGCTTCATGCCCTTCTTCACCCACAGTGACTTCCAGAAAATGCAGGTAACCCCTCCAAAATGTATTGAATAATCCAGGAAAGGTTCTTCTCCAGCCCTCACCCCCCAGGCTCTGCAGGTGCCACTGTCACCCCATCCCCTGCCCCTCCTGTTTCCCTGGAGACACTGTGATCCAGCCCATCCCACACTCCTCCCAGAGTTCAGGGCAATGGGGGAGGACACAGACAATTCCTAAGGTGTGAGACCAGAAAGGAAGAGCCTGGACTCCTCTCCATGAGGTCTGACAGACCTGTGTGGGTTATCACCTGCAGCCCATGGGCTCATTTTTCCTTCCTCTGTGCTAGTGGCTGTAATTTTTACAGCGAAGCTGCAGCCTCCCATCACCACAGTGACGGGTCTTTTGTTGCAACAAATAATTAACCATCCTCCGGATGGTTGTCACCTCTGGGACGTGCAGAGAGAACGCTTTTGCTTTTGATGTGAAACTAATACTGTTGAGAAGTGTCAGGCAGGCTCAGAGAACTGCATCTTCTGAAACACAGCCCGAGTGAGCTTCCCCCGCAGTGCAGAGCCCATTGATGCCAGGAGAAATCCTATTTCCAACACCCATCCACTCACTGGAGGGTAATTCTTCCTGTGGGGAGCACAGTCACCCCTCAGTGTCCTCAGGAAGGATGGGGGGACCCACGCACTGTCTCCAGGTCGATTGTTCATGTGTCACAGCCCTTGTAGCTCCGTGTCTGCCAGGGACTGAGGGTCTTCTAGAGGTATGTGGGTGAACTCTGTCCCCTAAACGCTGCCCCTGCTCCTCTGAGCATGTGTCTGTCATATTCCAAAGCATCTCTGGCTTTTTCCTTTGTGAATAAAGGGAGGGCCCTGAAGCCAAGTTTGGCCCCATGACTGGTAAAGAACTGACATTACAGACCTGCAGGAAGGCTGGTAACACACAACCTCTGCCCAGAGCTCTCCACGTGCCATGAGCCTGTGCAGGGCTCAGTTAAACTTCCTTGCCAGTGCCCCAGAACAGAACCAGGGCCAGGTCTCTGGGCCAGCTCAGTGAGGTCACTGTCCTCAGCTGATGGTGTCACCTCGCACTGATCAACAGTGACACGAGTGTCCTGTTCACTGCAGACCTTCCCTCTCCACCCTGTAACCAGACCTTACCCCCACGTGCAGCCTCTGCTGCATGGCAGCATTTCAGTCCCCAAGGCCACGCTGGCCCTTCCTGAGGCCCTGGGGGGATTCCACCTTGGCTCCAGGCAGTGGTGAGACCTCCTGTGCCCTGGTTCTGTGCCCAGCACTGGGGGTTCCTGGCTGCTGGGCATCCCACTGCTGCTGCGGTGCAGAGCGGGTCTGGGACCCTCGGGATGTTGTGTCCCAGCATCACTAACTGTGCCACTTGCTCTCTGCTCTGATGCTGCAGGAGAAGGAGAGGAACAGGGGAGGGCAGAAGAAATCCCTGAGCTCCCTGCAGCAGCTGGACGAGGAAGGCTCCTCTGAGCAGCCCGGTGTGGGTGCCAGCACGGCCAGGGCCATCCAGGTATGCTGAGCCACTGGACTCTGAGGAGGACACACAGGGGGACAAGGAGCCCAAGAGATGTCCTCTGCCAGCCCTGCCAGGTTGCCCCAGAGAAAGGTTTTACCTCCCCCCTATATATAATCTTGGACACTCAGCAGCCAGGTCACCCCTGAGACCCACCTGGCTTCTCCCTCAGGAAAATGGAACCATGAGGTTTGCCTTTGCCACTCAGTGAACCCCAGCCAAGTTCAAGGCAGGGATTCCCAGCTCTGCTTCAGCTCTGGGGTTAACCTGTCACCTTCTCACCCAGCTCCAGCTGTGCTGCCCGGTGTCACCTCTGATCCCACACTTCTCTGCACTGGCAAGACCTTACTTGGGCCCATGCAGCTGCACTCCCCAAAGTCTGTATACAGTGCAGAAAATGGACAATTTTAGGGATTTAAGTGCCAGGCTAAGCTCTCAAAGACATGTTTGCCTGGTTACCAAGTCTGAAAACTGTGCTTTTCCACTTGAACACAGGGAACTCTTTGCCCACCCGTGCAGCCACTCCTGCGGGGAGCTTGGCTGTTCCCAAGCTGCCTCCCCCTGCTCTCCTCAGCTTTTCCTTCTGACTTCTCTGGCTCTCTCAACAGCAGGCTGTTCCTGTCAGACCTGGGATGTGGCTCACCCCAAGGCAGCTGGAAAAATACCAAGATGCCCTGGAGAAAGTGCTGGCAGAGCTGTTACAGGACACCCCAGACGGTACTGTCAGGAGGCTGATTTCTGCCTTGGGAATTCTGCCTTTGCCTCCCCTCACCAGCTCACCAGCACGGGGATATTTATATTCCCCAGAAGGGCTTTTGTGTCATGTTTGCTCACTTTACAGAGCCCTCAGAACCCAACCACTCCCTTCTGGGGAGGTTATTTCTTCGTAAGGTGCTGCCTGTGCCCTGGAGCTGAGATGGGCTGTCAGCAGCAGCACAGCCCATCCCAGCAGCTCCCCTCGGTGCTGTTTGCCACTTCCCTACTCCTCCTCCCAAAACGTCCTCAGTCTTCAGGGAGCAATTTCCAAAAGGGTTTATAACTCCAGCTGCACCTGCAAGGCAGCTCAGCACCTGCAGCCAGCTCAGAACACCAGCTCCCTGCATGGGGGCTTAACACTAACACTTAATTACACCCGAATTTGCTGCGAATCCTCCTTTTCCTTTGGGCTCAGTGTGTGGGAATTGCAGCAAATAAAACATCCAGGGGCAGTCTGCTGTGCAGCTCTTCCTGCCTGCAGATTAAGGGATTGGTGGGATGGGTCTCCCCAGAGTTATATCTGCACCTTTGCCTTGTTTGGGACATGTAAGCCCAGGTAAGAGGATCCTGCTCTCCCTGTGAGGGTTGTTCTGCCTGTGCTGATTTCAGTTTGCTTTTGAACTTTTACTTTAGGAGCTGAGGAGTGGGAAACAATATAGAAAGCCCTGAAAGACTGAATGACAAATTTAAGGACACTTGTGCTTTTCTCTTTTCTTTTTAGCTGATTGATATCTGCAGAATCAGAAGAGAAAGCGCTGGAGCTGCTAAAGCTGAAAGACTCCACTTATGTAAACGAAATCTGTAAGAGATTAACAGTAAAATCTGAGGTGAGATAATAAAATGCGCAGCACAATTAAACGGAGGATTTGTGTCTTCAATCCTTCGTGCTTCTCAGCCAGATGGAGAAGTGTGGGAAAGGAGGGAGGGAGGGCTCTGGGTTCTAGAGAACATCCCCATCCTCCTGAGCACTGCTCGGGAGTCAGTCCTGTGAGGAGGAGCTGAGGGAGCTGGGGGGGCTCAGCCTGGAGAAAAGGAGGCTCAGGGGGGACCTTCTGGCTCTGCAACCCCCTGACAGGAGGGGGGGCCGGGGGGGTTCGGGCTCTGCTCCCAGGGAACAAGGGACAGGAGGAGAGGGAACAGCCTCAAGTTGTGCCAGGTGGGACAAAAGGAGGAATTTCTCTCTGGAAAGGGTGGTCAGGCATTGGAAGGGGCTGCCCAGGGAGGTGGAGGAGTCCCCACCCCTGGAGGTGTCCAAGGAAGGAGCTCCTGCCTGTGCTCCAAACCCCTCACATGCCCCCTGTGATACGAACAGCACTGTGAGGAACCCGTGTGCCATGGCTGTGCCAGGCCCAGCACGTGGCAATGGCACCGGGCTCTGCCCTCATTGCTGCCTCTCAAACACACCCGGAGGTGAAACTGTAATTCCACTTGAACATCCTGCTCTCCATTTCCATACCTTTGGCTAATTTTAGAGCTGCTCCTCTATGCTGGCAGCAGGAAATCCAACATATGTAAAGTAAGGATGGATGAGATCAATGGTTTGTACGTGCATATATCCAATTCCAATCCAATTTTACCCTCCCAACCCAACCCGAGTTCTGTTCTCACTGAGCTCATTCCAGTAGCTCTGTTTGTGCTGGAACAACACCCCTCAGCGTGTTCTGCCATAACCAGCCCTCAGGAGAGGAGAGATCTCCCAGTGCATAATGGAACATCCAGCACAGCGTGGATTACAGCTCTAATGTTTGATCCAAAGGCACGCTCCTTGTCCACAGACTGATCAGCTCCAGGTAGCTCCTGCTTTTCTGGGTTTGCTGCTGAGACAGGGTGAGCTGTGAAATCACTATAATGACTCTGAGGGGGAGGAAGATGGGAAATAATGCATTCCATTAGGCTGGAAGTGAGAGCAGCCTCGGCTGTTGGGCTACAGGAGCTCAGTCTGCAGTGGAGTGACATCCATGGAAGGGCCAGCATAGGAATCACTGGAGGAGCTGCATCACACCCCGGTGTGCAGCCAGATCAGAGACAGGCTGTTGGCTGCAGGGGGGACCAGAGAGACCCAAACCTTTACTCCAGGTATGATTTTGCCCTGCTACAGGAAAACAAGGAGAATTTCCCCCTGAGGGGAAAACTGCTCCTAAACTCCCTGTGTGAGCTCTGCTGCGGGTCAGGGCTGTCCCTCCAGTGTGCCCTTGGCCCAGCTCCTTCACTCCCACCACCTCCCAGACTGACAGCTCCCCTGTGCCAGCCAGGAAGGAAAGTTTTCCAGTGACAGCAGGAAAGAAAGTGAACATGAGCCTCTTGGATTTGCTTCCTGGACCATTTCCCACCAGGGTGGTGTGAGGCTGACGCTGTGGAGATTTCCACAGGGAGATTCACCACTGCAGGGATCTCTCCCTCTGCTCTTACACTTGGACCCAGACAAGCTGCAGCAGCAAGGGCTGGCTTTGACCCATCGGTTCTGCCAGTGGCTCTTCCCAGTTGTCCTGGCTATAAATCCCAGCTCAGGACATAGGGCTGGTAGTGACAGTGGCTGTAGGAACCCCTGCCCTGCAGCAACAACTGTCTTGTCCAAACAGGCACCAAAGCACACAGGGCCTCCAGCTTTTGGAGTTGAACTCCTTCCACCCTCAGGGGCTTGAATAGGAGAAGCAGAACCTCTGCTGGAAGGAGAAGATGGATGGACCCCAACCATTGCCCCAGGCACAACTCCTGTTGTCAGAGGAGCTCTGGTTAAGAAGGAAATGTTCTCCAGACTGCAGGACAGATGGTACCCCCGTGCCCTGGAAGGTGCTTTGGCGGCAGCAGCACCCAGGCCCACCTGCAGGCAGGCAGGAAGAATTTGCTGCTCCAGAAACCAGAGTTTCATGGTGGGATGAGCAGCCCCACAGTCGGTGGAGAGAGGCAGGGAAAGAGGAGAGAAGAGAATGGAGTCACCTCTGACTTTCTAACATAATAATCTCTCAGCAGGGCGAGGACAGGGGCTCTTGGGTCACACCTGTGCCACTGCCGTGAGTGACAGGGTGATAAATCGGCCCAGTCGGCTCCCGAGTGAGACTCGACACTTCCCTGGTGACATATGTGGGACTGTCACCCAAATGCCATGGCTGAGGAGGGGGGATGGCAGGGTTTCAGCAGCCCATCAGTCAGGAGGGGAAGGGCTCAGCTGCTGCCTGCGGGTTTTGGGGTGCAGCCGCTCCCCTCCTCACTGTGTGAACATGGAGCAGATCTATTCCTGTCCCTCTGTCACACCAGGCCTGTCTCGGTGCTTCCAGAGGAGGAGCAGACGGTGCCACACGGCTGCTCTTCCCACTTGGCATCTGAGTCAGTGCCAGCAGGTCTGAGGCAGCTTCTGGGCTCGCAGGGAAGGTGGAGGATGCCCCCTCCTCGCTGTCCCAGCTTCCCAGGATATTTACAGCCAAGAGATTCAGAGCTACACCGGGGGCTGGGAAACTGCCTTTCAACAGTTGAGCATCGCCGAGCTCCCGGCAGCCCCTGCTGCTCCCAGAGCTGTGAGGATGATGAGAGGGCTGCAAAAATAGGAAATCCACTGCCAGGCTCATCACCAGCACTGTGGGCAGGGGGACAGGAACGAGGATTGTCCATGGGGATACGGGCTGAGAGGAGGAGGCCTCTCTGCTCCTGCTGCCTCCCCCATGGGAGCCTTCCAGGTACCCTCCAGGGAAGGCAGGGCTGCTCCCATGGGTTGCCTTGTTAGGGAAGAAGGGTTGTGGATTCCTCTCCACAACTAAGAGGCCTGCCAACCTCCCTTCTGAGGAGGAATCACAGCTTTCCCCCCATCCTCCAGTTCTCCAACACCATTCCCATGTTTTCCCCTCCAAAGGTCATGCAATGAGGCTGCTGGACCAAACTCTGGCCTGGAGTAACTTTCCTGACTGACAGAAACTCAAGTTGAAAAGACAGGTTCGGGGCTTTTGCTGTTGCCCTTTTTCTCCAGAACAAGATGAGTTCATGTGATTCCTGGGTTTGCATCAGCTCAGGCTTGGATGCCAGCACTGATCTGCATGTCTGGGCAGAGCTTCTCCAAAGCGAGAGCTGTGAGCTCACAGAATCTGTGTAATATTCTAATTCCTTATTTACATTAGACCCCGCTCCACATTATGAGCTGTCAGTGGTGCTTTGCTGTTGAGCGCAGGGGAGGCTCAGCTTGGCGTGTTCACACTTCCCAGTGGAGCTGAGTTTGCTCTTGTAATGGGCTCCCTGGCCTCTACTGAGGATATATTTGCTGTTGCCAACCAGATGAACAAATCTCAGCATCTTGTTGCTGCTTTCTTGGATAAACTGGGGAGAGGGAGGTGAACTTTGGAGCCCTGAACAAGGAAGAGGGTCCCGAAAGAAGGATTAGCAACGGGATGAAAGGACATGGCCTCAAGATGCATCAGTGGAGGTTCAGGTGGGACACGAGGAGGCATTGGTGGGGTCAGGCATTGGAAGGGGCTCCCAGGGAGGTGGTGGAGTCCCCATCCCTGGAGGTGTCCAAGGACGGACTGGACGTGGCACTCAGTGCTCTGGGCTGGGGGACAAGGTGGGGATTGGTCATAGGTTGGACTCCAAGGTCTTGGAGGTCTTTTCCAGCCTCAGTGATTCTGGGATTCATGTCAGGAATGCACAGCTCAGCTCTTCCCGTCTCATCCAGGCCGAGCATCCCCCCGAGCCTCCCACTCCTTGTGGGTCCCATTCCCAAGGGACCATGGCATGTCTCCCACTCCGGTATCACACCTCGATCCCAACACCAGCGGCACACATCCAGCCCGTGCATTCATCGCCGCTTTCTCGTTCTCTTTAATTAAATTCCGATATTACACCACAGTATTTCAGCCACTGTCATTACTTTCTTTAGAGGCGGGAGCAGGAAAAAGCAATTACTGCACATCACTGCCCTGCCAAAACAAATTTACAAGTCGATGCTTGGTTCTGCTGTTTTGTGCTGTGGAGCGTGCGGGGACCCTCCTTCCCGGGAATCATCCCTGGGCTCCGGCCCCTGATCCCACGAAGGCGCTGGCCGGGCTCCAGCCGCTGGCGGTGACTTGGCAGCGGTGAAGGCAATGTGTGTGGGGCTGGCAGATGGCTGGGAAAGACACATTTTTGGGGAGAACGGCCCTAAAAGCGTCAGAACATCGGTGTGGCTTGGTCGGGGTGAGGTGGGAGATGCTCGAGGGGGGGACAACCCGTCACTGTCGCGGGCAGTGACACTGGCCGACCCCAGCGCTGAGGCTGCTTTTGCCCTTTGCTTTCTCCATTTCTCGCCCCTTCTCCCCTGTCCCGAGGGGAGCAGCAGCTCCCGCCGCCCGTTCCCTCCGATCCCTCAGGGCAGCAGCGCTCCCCTCGACCTCCCCGACATGGCGCCCGCCCCGCCTCCTTGTCTGCCCTTCCCAAGATGGCGGCGCTGGGGCGCGCCGGGCCCCTCCCAACATGGCGGCGGCGCTTCCCGCCTGCGGGGCGCTTCCGGCGGGGCCTGGCGCGGCCATGGCGGAGCTGACGGACGCGGAGCTCCGCAAGGAGCTGCTGGCGCTCGGCTACCGCCCGGGGCCCATCACCGCCACCACCCGCAAGGTCTACGTCAAGAAGCTGGGCTGCCTGCGGGCCGAGGTGGCGGCCGCCCGGCGCAGCGGCCGCACCGCGCCGCCCAGCCCGGGCCGCTCCCCCGCCGGGCCGCCGCAGGCCTCGCCCTCGCGGCAGCGCTCCAGCTTCACCCGCGACAGCGAGGAGGAGGAGGAGGATGAGGAGGAGGAGGAGGAGGAAGAAGGGGGGCAGCCGCCCGCGTCCCGCTGGGGGACGTCCAGGGAGGGCGGCGGGCAGGCCTGGGGGGACCCCCGCGGGTCCCCGCCGGGCCGGGCCGGAGGCAGCAGGGCTGAGGGCGGCCTGTCCCGGGACAGCCTCGGGGGGCTGAGCCCCTCGGAGCGCTGGGGGACGGCTGTGGAGAGAGGGGGGGGCGGGCTGGGGGCGTCCCTGGCCGGGCACGGGGGGCTGAGCTCCCCGTCCCAGTGGGACACGTCCATAGAGAGGAGCGGGGGGCTCGGAGGGGGGTCTCACCCGCCCCTGGACGGGCCCGGGGGGCTCGGGCCCTCGTCCCACTGGTGCACGAACGCAGAGAGGAGCCGGGGGCTCAGCACGGGGCCGGGGGCCACCCTGGATGGGGTGCGGGGCTCCTCGCTGCAGTGGGGCACGTCAGCAGAGAGGAGCGGGGGGCTCAGCAGCGGGCTGAGACCCACCCTGGACAGGGCCCGGGGGTCCAGCTCCGCGTCCCAGTGGAGCCCATCGGCGGAGAGGGGCGGCGGGCTCGGCTTTAGGGCTGGCTCCGGGCCGCCCCCGGATGGGGTCGGGGGGCTGAGCTCCACGCCCTACTGGGGCTCCTCGGCTGGCAGGAGCGGGGGGCTCGGCTCCAAACCCCTTCCCAGCGAGGAGAGCGGGGGCCTGAAGTCCAGAAGCCATTGGGGCACAGTGGGAGCTGGGGGCCAGAGCTCCCGGGATCCCTGGGACACGGCGGGGGAGAGGAAGGGGCTCTCCTCCAACAGCTGGTGGAGGCGGGAAAGTGAGGTGACCCCCAGCACCCAGTGGGGCTCCTCGGCGGCCCCCGGGGGGTTCAGTCAGCTGTTCAGGAGGGGGAAGGAGGACCTGACTTCCAGCGTTGGCAGGGAGGCAGAGAGGGATGCGAGCGCTGGCGGCCGGGCCGGGGGGCTGATCCGGCGCTTCCCGTGGCGGGCGTCCAGCGATGGGGGGTATGGAGTGACCCCCCGCACTGCCCTGCTCCGCTCAGCCCCCAGGCAGCAGCCCGAGGGGAAGGGAAAAGGCCTGGAATACTACCTCTCCCAGTTCCTCTGCCTCGCCAGCGTAGTGCTGCTCCTCATTTTTCTGGGCATCCTCGTGGTGAAGATGGTTGGGTCAGGCTGGCTGGACAGGAGAGACGAGAGCTGTACGTGCACGGGTTTAATTCTGATTTAAACTCTATTCCTCACCTTCTTCCTGCTTTACCTTTATTGCTTCTGTCACCATCATATTTATCATTCTCATTACTCTAACTTGACATCTCTGCGTCTGTCCCCGTTTCCATCTCCCCTTGCCCATGGGAAACCTTAGTCATGGAAAGCAAGTCAAGTGGGTGATTTTTCCAAATGAGCTTGGCCTTCAGTTCCTCAGAACCATGGGTTTTACGGGGAGTGCCATTCCTGCTAGGCCAAGGATGGATTTTATGGATTCCTGCTAGGCCAAGGATGGAGAACACAATGTCTCTGTAACACCCAGTGTGTGCTTTCAATGTTCCCTCTGCTGGCTCAGCCCTTCCCAACCTTTATCCTGGGCAGGGGAAGTGCAGCAAACGAAGTGGGCACTGAAAATGTGACAGAGCTTCCATGAGAAATGGAAAGGGGCTTCCCCACCACCTGATTTTAAAGCAGAGTTTCCCAGTGGAACAGCTGGAAATATGGACATGTCATGGCTTTGAGCTGAATGTGGAAGGGTTTGGGGGCAGTTGGGAAGGTGCTGGTCCTGAGCCTCCTCCCACTGTGCCCCTGGGTGTTTGTGCCCTTTGCATGGGCTGGGAAAGCTGCTGTTTTCCCAAAGTCAGGATATAACTGCCCTGTGTCATGGGTTTCTGTTGCACCTGTTAAGCTTTGAGAGGAGTTTGGAGCAGGAATGTTTGCCCAGGTGTGAATTGTGCCAGTCCTCAGGCAGTGCAGGGTGCTGGGAGGTGCCTCAGACGGGCAGCAGGGATGGAGGGATGGAGAGAGCAGTTAAGGCATGGCCATAATCTGCAGAGAGAACAGCTCCAGCTGAAATAAATCCTGTACCAAAAGCCTGTGCCTCGAGGAGGTTTGATTTCCCTCCCGGATACTTGAGGTGACTGTGGTGGGCAGCGAGTGGCATCACTGGAGTGTAAAGATCAGTGGGAAGGGGTGTGAAGCATCTCCTCAAACAGGAGCTGTTAGAGCATCCAGCCCCAGTTTTTACTTCCCAGCTGACCAGATTCATCACTGGCACCTTTTTATTTGTTTTTTTCCAGTGCTGCTCCCAGAGCAGCTCCTGAACAGGCCATTTGCATTGCAAGGTGCTGCCCGAGGGAGATTAACAACAGCAGCATCAGGCTTTAAAGCAGAACCTTCTTTTAAAAGATAATTACTCTCTTGATCAAAGCTCTTACTTGCAGCCAGCTAACTCACCCTCTTTTCTCTCGTAGTTAATCTCTTGCCTGTGGATTGTGACAAAAGCACGGATGATGTAAGCATTTATTTATTTATCTTCAGGTCTGGGGGATTCTCACAGAACAGTGATTATTCTATGTAACATCCACCCATAGCAGTATTGTTGTAAAATGATTAGTTCTATCATTTTACAGAAAACTTGGGACTTGATGGGTTGGAATTAATGGGCCAGATTAAATTAGGAATGTGTATGAGACTCCGAAAGATAAAAATTTAAATTCCCAATTACGTGAATCAATTTCTTTAACAGTTGTACCAGAAGTGATATTGGTTTGCAGTAAAGCTGTTTGCAGCTTTAACAGTACAAGATTTAATCCAGCTAATTCCCTGAACGGAGTGTCTGCACAGCTTGTTCTCCCTGTCAGGATGGATTGTTGGGGAAGCTGTGGCTGCCCCATCCCTGGGAGTGTTCCAGGCCAGGTTGGACAGGGCTTGGAGCAACCTGGGATAGTGGAAGGTGTCCCTGCCCGTGGCAGAACAAGATGAACTTTAAGGTCCCTTCCCACCCAAACCAGTCTGGGATTCTATGATTAGGAGTGAGAAAATTCCCTGTTGGATTCTGAGTCCTGGTTGGTGGCTGGGATGTTCTGGGACAACGGATCCACCCCAGGGGGTGGCTGGTGCTGCAGGCTGGGCTGGGGTGGTCGGTGGTACTTCGTAGAATCCCAGACTGGTTTGGGCTGGAAGGGACCTTAAATCTCACCCAGTTCCACCCCCTGCCAGGGGCAGGGACTTGCAGAGGATTCCCCAGGTCAGCTTTGACTGGAACCTGCCAGTGTGTGCTGTGGGTGTGTTTGGTGGGAGCTGGTGGGGCAGGACTGAGCCAGACTGCACTGCTGCTCTGTGTGGGGTCTGTAGCTGCTCTCCCACTGTCCCACTGCCACTGCTCACGTTTGCTCCTGTCTCTGCCAGCAGTTCTGCCAGGCCAAGCAGAGGGACATGACCATGGCTGTGCTGCACGAGCTCTACAACTACCTGTCCGTGCAGGCAGGTGAGTTCAGTCACTCAGAACTCCTGGGCATGCAGGAACTGCCTCTCCCAGCTCCCTGGTGCTTTCTGCCCTCACTTTGGAGAGAGTGGTTTCTGGAACAGTCAGTTCCCTTTGAAGAGCTCTGAGGAAGTCAGGTAATAGGAAAACAGGAAAAGGTGGGGTTATTTTTATTCTGATTAGTGCTCGGCTGGTGCACTCGTATCGCTCTGCCCTGGTGAGTGGGCCTTGTTTGCACTTGACATGCTGGGAATTTGAGGTAGAAATAGTCAGTTTTATGATTCTACCAACATCTTGAAATTGTCTTCAAGGTACTCAGAGCCATTAAGTGTAAGCTGGTGTGTTCTTGCAAACAAAGTAAAAGTGGCTTAAGAAATTGTCATTTTCTGCTGAAATGTGGCAGCAGATGTGTGAGTGCCCCTCTCTTCTCTCACCACAGAGGCTCTCTGAGCTGGGTTCAGACAGCTCAGTCTCTACTATATTGAGTAAATCCAGCCCATCACTGGTATTTTGGGATGGAGAAGGCTGCTAGAAATCCAGTGCACGAGTGGAGACTTGTTCAGCAAGATCCATAGCACTGGTAACGAGTAAAAGTGTTTCAGTTCCATTTTCTGTATTTCAGACCTCAAGGCTGAAGGCTTTGGATATGAAGCTGCACATAATTCCTAAATCTTTTCAAATCTGACTTCGGCAGCTGCCGGATTTCCACCAGATTTACTCAGTCTCTCAGCACATTTGTTTAGTCAACTTGGTGAGGCAAGTTTTAGAGGATTTAGTTCCTCGCCAGCATTTCTGTGCCTGGGTGGAAGGCAGAGCTGTGATTTCGGCTCCTTGGGAGCATTTTGAATGCTGGTCATTAGCTGCACTCTGCAGTCCCTGAGTCCTGGTGGCAGGAGCCCCTCTGCAGGGCACCAGGGCCCAGACATGGCTCTGTGCTCTGCAAGGGGCACAAACAGGATTTCCCCCCTCATTCTGTGTTCAGCAGCTCTGAAGTGTGAGCTTTGATTGCCCTTATCCAACAGCAGCTCCAAAGTGTGGTTTGATTGCCCTTATCTAACCTATGTGCAGTGGCTGAGCATTTTATTAATAGTCATAATCTGATCTGCCTGCAGTATAAATCTCACCTTGGAGTCATTCTGCTCAGGGCTGGAGCTGATTGGAAAGGAGAGTATTTCTTGGTGTACATTCAGAGTGTAGTTCTGAGCTGTTCAAGGGCTTTTTTCCAAACGTTATTTCTATTTGACTTTTTTACCAGGTAATTTTGAATGTGGAAACCCTGAGAATCTAAAAAGCAAATGCATTTGGGTTAGTGAGGCGAAGGACCACGTGATGGTGAGTAGGCTGTGAGCAGCTTTGTTATGACCTAGTGCTTAGTCTCTTATAAGGCAATAAATAATAGACACTAAAGCAATTCACCATCCGTTCTGCTCCCTCATCCTGGTTTGATTCTTTCCCATATCTCTCCCTTCCCCTTTGGCCAGTCCTGTTCTCAGCAGTTCTTTTGAAAATCATTTTCTCCTCCATCTGTGATTCAGCCCCTGTAAATCTTAACTTAATGGTTTGTTGTTTCACCGGAGCCATCAGTCTTGTGAAACCAGAAATTTCCCTGGATTGAGGGCTGGGCAGAAGAAGGATTTTTCTATACCCCAAAGTGTCAGGAGACAGAGTGCTCTGATCTAGCATTCCATTTCTTTCCTGGTAAACTGTCAGTAAGATTATGTTGTATTTAGTGGTTAGTCTTAACAGTCTGGGATGGTGTTATTTCACAGAGTGCTTCATGCATCATCTACCCAGTCAGGAGACTTTAGTCCAGGCAGACCTTCAGGCTTAGTTCCCCTTCCTCCAGTTTGCAGAATTCTGATAAGAATTAACCTGGGGACAGACCATATGGAAGGAATTCTCCCACTCCTGTAATGAAATAATGTTGTTCAGTATTTTAAGGGAATGGAGAACTAATCTTCTTATGGATTCCTTGCACAGAATGTTACTGGTAGCTCCCCACAGAAGTTTGAAGCTGCCCTGCACTGGATACTGAACAGCAACAAGGATTTGGGAATTTGGTAAGTGGAAGCCCAGTGTGTCAAAGTTCCAGTTCTGAGGGTTGGCTGCTGTGTAATTGGACAGGTCTGTGGGTGCCCTTCAGCTTCCAGACCTCGTTGGGCTTCAGCAGGTAATGTGGGATTGGCTGTGGCAGTGCCTGCTGGGCAAACTTCCAGAACAACAGCCCTGCAGCCAAATGGCAACTGAGCTCTCCAGGAGTGTGATCCCCAGCCCTGGCTGCAGGACACCGTGTCCAGGGATGTCTTGCTGCCTTGCAGATGAGATGGGAATGGGAGGCCAGGGCTGCTTGTGGCATCAGTGGTTGTGTTGTGCCTCCTGTGAGGTTTGGAAATGGTGGTCCTGGTGTCCGGCCCATGGTCCTGCCCCTACAGCCCTTCTTAAACTTACCCATGTGGTTACTTTTCCCAGTTTCACAGTTTCAGCTGCAGCATTTGTGGAGCTGCATCCTTGGACCAAAGGGTTCCCTGGCCAGCAAAGCCCTCTGTGCAGAGGGGAATGTCACCCACACTCTGGGATCCTTTGGAGCAATCCCAAGGAGGAGGAGAGGAGAATGGACCTCGAATGGTATCCGGAGTGTCAGTTGTCCCTCTGGCAGAACACCCAGTGCACATTAAATCACAGGATCACTGAGGTTGGAAAAGTCCTCCCAGCCCATGGATCCACCCTGTGCCCTGTTCCCACCTTGTCCCCCAGCCCAGAGCACTGAGTGCCACGGCCAGGCCTTCCTGGGACCCCTCCAGGGCTGGGGACTCCAAACCTCCCTGGGAGCCCCTTCCAGTGCCTGACAGCCCTTCCATGAGGAAATTCCTCCTGAATGGATTGTCTGACTGACTGTGGCTGGTGGTTGGTCACTGAGGGGGAGTTTCTCAGCCAGCAGTACTGGGTTTTCAGGGAAAACCCACAACATTCAGTCCATAACCTTAGGAAAGAGTGTTACCAGAGTCTGCAGCCACTGTTACCTTCCTCTGGGAAGTGTGGGCTGCCTCCAGTCTGTGCCAACTCTGAAGTCTAACAGTTGTTTGCATTTCCACGTTGCTAAATATGTCTGTGATTAACTGAATTGCAGCAGTTGGAGTGATGGGGTTGGTGAGCAAACCTTGTAGGAATTCCCATTGCTCTATTTGCTCTTAAATATTCCTGCAGCTGCTGCTGTGATCCAAGGATCAGACAGTGTCTCCTGCTTTGATTACTGGTGTGTGCAATTCCCAGGATGGGACGTGGTTTCCTTAGGGGCACGTCTGGATTTGTAGGTGGTCTGGGATCCAGAGTTTTCAAATCTATATTTTTATACTCGAGTAGGAGCTGTGGGATACAATACACTCCCACATTTTTATTTCCATAATTAGCAGCTCTGTTGTTCCCCAAATGGATGCACTTCCCTGGAGCCTGTGTGCTGTGCAGGAGTGGGGAACAGCCCCAAAAATCTGCCCCTGGCATTTTTTTGCTACATGACATTATTTTTTAGGTGCTAGTCTCAGAGGCAGGACTGAAAATGGGCTTTGCACTGGGTGATTCTGCTGCATGTTTTAAATATTTTCATGGAATTTGGATTGTAAATAAGACAAGGGCGGGGGAAACAACTGTGTGTCTCCAGCTCCTGTAGAATCCAGAATCAAATCCGAGCTGTCAGCAGTTTGTGAGCTGAGCACTAATGAATTGGGAAAACCTCTTTGTCTAATGGGTTGTTCAGTGCAGACAGAATTAGGAGCTTCAATAAAATCCCCTTTGGTCCAATTGCTTTGGATCTGGTGGCTCTCCCCTGGATCCCTGTGAGGGGATGGCAGAGGGAGCTGGGAGCAGGTCAGGGCTCAGGGGAGCAGCAGGGCAGGGGGTGGTTGGCAGTGGTGCCCTCCCTGCAGACACAGCTGATGCTCTGTCGCTGCTGTAGCTGAGCTGTTCCTGCTCCCCAGTGCTGAGGAGAACAGCTCAAGCTCCCTGGCCTCCCCCAGCTCTGGAGCAGTGACTCGGGGAACGCTTCCATCTCTGTGCTGGGAGGTGGGAATCCAATTTCGAGTTTAATCTTGTGCACACTGAGAGGGGCTGTCAGAGAGGCTGCAGCAGGAGGCTCCCGAGTGCCGGTGGGAGCTCCAGCCCCGCTGCCTTTCCGCAGCCATATCCATCCCTTGCTAAGCAGCCAGTCCCGGAATGCTGTGGCAGGAGCAGGAGGGAAATGCTGTGGCAGGAGCAGGAGGGAAATGCTGTGGCAGGAGCAGGAGGGAAATGCTGTGGCAGGAGCAGGAGGGAAATGCTGTGGCAGGAGCAGGAGGGGAATGCTGTGGCAGGAGCAGGAGGGGAATGCTGTGGCAGGAGCAGGAGGGGAATGCTGTGGCAGGAGCAGGAGGGAAATGCTGTGGCAGGAGCAGGAGGGGAATGCTGTGGCAGGAGCAGGAGGCTGTCGGAGCGTTTCCCGTGTGCTGCGCGGGAGGAGTTACTGCATCTGCAGTCTGTTTGTTCTCCCCGCCTTGATTAAAGACTGCAGTTGGAGTCTGCTCTCCTCAGTGAGATTTTCTGCCTCTTCCCATCAGGCTGAAAGGCAGAGACCTGGCGGGGCCTGTTTCCAGCGTGGAGGAAGTGTTCTGCCTGGAATCTGCCCGCCCGCAGATGGGGCTCGGCTGCCGCTTCCGCCGCGCCGTGGTCACGGCCATCACCAACCTGTTCCTCTTCTTCTGGAGTAAGTTGGGAGTGCTCAGCCTCCCCTGCCCGCTGCAGGGGCGAGCCCTGTGCACACACACACGTTCCCAGCCATAGGAGATGACTAACAGAGGTGAAATGAATGTGCTGATGAGTTAATGTCTAATTAACCTTTGTTCTGGCAGCACAGGGAGACCCGCAGCACTGCTCTTGTGCTCTGAGTGCTTAAAACGTGCTTTAAATCAGCCAGCTGATTAGCTCTCTGGGTATTCCTCAAGTACCCATTATTATGGGCTGCAAAATAAGTGTGTTAACTTACCTAAAGGAGTCGGTTTTTCTTTTTTCTTGCTCTAAGCCCCAAAGTCTTCCAGCCTCTTTAATAATGACTTGTAGCATTTCAGGGTTGGAGGTTTTATTGGAATAGTGTGTTGTGCCTCAGCTGAGACAGAGGTTTTACCCAGTGAGGTGATAACGAGAGCTGTGTGACTGGAGGAGTTTATAATCCAGCCTGACAGGGAGGGGGGGACAGGGGACAGTTTTGGTCATTGCAGAGACAGATGCTGAATTCTAATGGGGGCACTGTCAGTGCTAAACCTTCCATATAGATCTGAATTTTGGGCTGGCACTGGAGCCCCAGGCTTTATTTCCTTATCAAGCAGCTCTCCTTGGAGCAGTGAAGCCTGACAGCCTTCCAAAGTGATCACTGTGGGGGAGGCCTCTGGCAAAGACTCCTCTGGGACTTGCAGAACTGTGGTTGTGCTGAGGTTTCTTTTGGGGGGGGAGCTCCGTGCTGAGGCCTTCCAACCACCTCATCCCACATCCACATGTGCTCTTCTGCTGCAGGGGGTGGTCAGTACCAAGGGATTTTAGGGTGCAGCTGCACTGGGGTACAAAATGAATCACTTGGGTTCAGTTCCAGGCAGGCCTGGGTCACAGGGAGTGAAAGCTGCCTCTGGGGAGAGGCAGTGTCAGAACTAAAACTGCTTCCAGCAATACACAAGTGGCAGTTACTGAATTCTGTTTGCTTTTATTCTCCTAGGTCTGATCACTCTTTGGGGGATCCTGATCTTCCTCAGGTATCGCTGGCGGAAGATGGAGGAAGAGGAACAAGCCATGTATGACATGGTGAAGAGGATCATAGGTAGGAGCTCTGTGAGTTCAAGTAGCCCTGCTCTGCTTCCTGCAGTGTTGAGCTCTCACTGTTCTGTTCTCCTTCCCCCCAGCTGTTGTCCAGGACCACTATAAGGAATGGGAACGGAATTTGGAACGTTACCCCTACGTTGGCATCTTCCATGTCCGGGACAGTCTGATTCCTCCTCAGAGCAGGTGAGCTGGATCTGGGCCCTCAGGAGGGCTGGGATGGGATTCAGCACAGCTCTGAAGTGCAGCTGAGTGCTGGGAGCTGCATTGCAGGAGGAGGCTGGAGCCTTTGGGTCGGGAAAGGATTGGACACAAGTGAGGCTGTGCCTGGACCTGGTGCAGATCGAAGGGACAGTCCCGGGGCTGGTGCTCTGGGCAGTCCCACAGGTGTGTTGTCATTGCTCTGTCCAGCAGCACTTGGATTTGGTTTGTTTGGACATGGAGCATCAGCTGTTGAACCGGTCCCTGGGTGTGAGTTGTTCAGAATAACTGGATCCCAAACGGGAGATCCTCAGAGTGTCCCCTTGGTGAGATCCCTCCTGCAGGAAGGGGGAGGGCAGTTTGCTCACTGAGCCCCTTTGCAATATGAACTGAGCCTGAAATCCACTGTCACTGACAGAGGGTCTCACCTTCCCTCCAGGCAGGACCTGTGTGTCCATGCCCTGCTCTGAAATCCCCTCTAAACCAGGATTCTGGTTGGATTCCTTCCCTGCCTGCACAGGGAGCGGGAGGCAGCCAGTGGTGCCTGGATCCACAGCCACAGTTGCTGTAGGCAGGGAAGCACAGTGAGGTTGTGATTCTAATTTACTTTCTTTTCCTTGCTGTTTCTTGCAGAAAGAAGATGAAGCGGGTGTGGGAGAGAGCCGTGGATTTCCTGGCCTCCAACGAGTCCCGCATCCAGACAGAGTCCCACAGGGTGGCCGGGGAGGACATGCTGGTGTGGAGATGGACTCAGCCCTCGTACCTCTCGGACTCGGAGCACTGAGGAGGAGCAGGAGTGGAGCAGCTGTGGATGTGGATGTGGACATGGACCTCTGCAAGGGGACAGGCCCCTCGCTGGTGGTGGGAGGAGCAGGGCCCGAGGGTTGGGGTTGCACGTGTCTGTTTGCTCTTCTTTCTGAAAATCTTCACACACGCAAATTCAGGGCAATAACGTTGGCTTGGAAAGAAGATGGGCTTGAGCTGGTGGGAAGCTGGAATTGCACCAAAGTGAGCCTTCCACAGAGACCTGGCTCCCGTGGCAAGCGAGCAACGACTTACAAAGAGTAAAAGCACAGCTGCTCTCAGGGGCTGGGGCGTCTCTGCCAGAGCCCGGGGGTGCAAAATTTGACCTCAATTCTGCAAAGGCCAACTGGTGGCAGTGTCCACCAGGCAATGTGCTTAAAGATGACATTTCCCATGGAAACATTAGGGTGGCAGTTCAGGTGTGTTTTGTTAGAATCTGTTTTAGTCAGGACAGAGAGGGATGTAAGCACTCGCTGCTTCCCAGCGAGGAAGATGTGTTGGCTTCACCCTTCCAAAGTGGGGCAGAGGGGGAATGGAGTGAAGCTGGGCCTGGAGGAGGGAGGCAGCCTCACGTGCCTTGGTGGTTTGGGCTGGGCTGGGGGGATGGAGAGAGGTTGTGACCCTGTTACACTTTTAAGTCTGCAGTCTGTGTGCTTTATGATTTTAGGGGGGTGGGGGGAATTTGGGCGGAAAATAAAGGATATTGGAAGCTTCCAAAGGCGCTTTGCTGTGGCTGCAGCCACGGGGATTGGTCTGTGGCTATTAAAGGGCAGCTTTGGGAGGGCTTTGAGGACTGAGTGTTCATGTTTATGCTGGGCAGCTGCAATGTCTGTGCTTGTGCTGGAGCAGGGATGTGCCAGCACAGGGATTGCAGGATTCCTGCAGCCCCCGCGGGTCCCGGGAGCAGCTCCCGGCCCTGCTCCGTGTCTTGTGTCTGTAATCACTTGGTTACTTCAGCTGCTTTTCATGTCCAGCAAACGAGTGTTTGTTTCCAAGGAAATGGCACCAGTGTGTGGCAGTTTGGGCTCAGCAGAGATGTGGCTGCTCTGCTCTTCCCAGGGCTGTGCAACAGCTCGTGGGGCTGCAGGGACCAAACCCATTGCTGGCATCAGGCAGGAGAACTGCAGAGTGAAGCCAGTGTTGATTTGAGCCCTGTGTCCTGTGGATGTTGTCCTTGAGGAGAACATCCCGAGGCTGGATGCACGGAGAGCTCTGGGCGGGCTGGGGCAGCCACAGCCCTGCTCCCTCCTGGGCAGGGGATGCCACATCCCTGCTCCTTGTGCCAGTCCCTGCTCCCCTGGCAGGGTCTGCAGCTCTCCCCACACCTCCCTGGGTGGGGAGTCTGCCTGGCACCCCCTGGGCTGCTGGGGCTCCACAGGGATCTCCTGCTCCTGGACATCCCCCGGAATGGGTGGAGGGAGTGGGTTCCTCCAGGAACAAAACACAGGGAGGTCTTTCCCATTAAATGGGGAATATCCTGTGTGGAGCTGCCTGTTACCCCATATTTTTGGTTGTGAAAGTTGGGTGTTTGGGCAGGAGACTCAACAGCTCTTCAGGGGAAGGATCAGCTCCTCTCACTGTAATAAATAGGGAATAAAATGAAAGCAGCCTTGATTCTCCCAAAATGTAACAAGATTGTCACTGCTGCCATACAAATTCTCTCAAACACTGGTGCCTACATTCTTAAACCTTTTTAAACTCTTTGTGGGGCTTGGGTGAGCTTTTTTAACCGTCCAGAAGCGCAGAGTGAGGCGTTGCCGTCATCCTTTTGTATTAAACCTGGTTTTGTAGAACAAACTTCAATGGCTTGGTGCTGTTTATATGTTCCATTTAGCTCTGTAAATCGATATAAAAAATAAATTTATTACAAATAACTGTTACCTTTATTTTTAATGGAGAAATCACAGACTGTTCCAGGTGGTTTTGCTCGGATCAGGTGGATCTGCCCCGGGGAGCTCCATTTCCCAGAAGCTGCTGCTGATCCTGTGCCTTGGAGCACCCTCAGGCCGTGGTGAGCTCAGTGCACTTTTGGGACATGTGCCAGGTGATGGTATAGGAAGACTGGGAAGTGATGAGGGAAGTAATGAGGATGGAGTGGGATGGATGTCCCTGCCCTGCTCCGAGGCTGTTGCACATAAGCACGTCTTGATGGTAAACCAGGTTGTCTTCAGGGCTCATTTTCCTTGAGTGTTTCAATCCTTCCCTCACCCGAGTGTTGGTGGAACATCTCCTGCCAGTTCCACCTCCCAGGTCCCCTGAAGTGGCAGGAGTGGTCCCTCAGTCACTGTTGTGTAACATGGTTGGCTCGTGTTTGGTTAAAGAAATGTTTAATTGATCTCATCCTGTGGGTCTGAGTGACAAAGGGGGGGATTTCCAGCGGCACAGGAGGGTGGTTCTGTGGCTGTCAGGAGCTGCCTCCTCTGGCAGAGTCGTGTCTAAGGTTTGGGAACAGAAAAGGCTGCATGGCTGCATCTCCTCAGGACCCGCATTCCTGTCGGGATGCTCTTACCCAGCTGAGGTTGCTAAGTTACAACTGCAATATATTCAGGGTTAGGAAATGGTCCTGTTTGGTGTAATTCCACATGCAATTCCCAACCTGCTGCTGTTTGCTGCAAAGCCCCCATGGCAGCCCTGGGGCCCCAGGCCTGGGCAGGGGTTTGCTGAAGTCCTCAAGGTCCTGTTGGGGACTGGTCTGGGACTGGGGGTGGGAGTGGGCACATCCCCTCCTTGTCCCAGGCACTGCCCAGGTTGTGTTTGCCTTGTGATCCCCTAAATAACACGTGGGTCCCTCTCCTTGGGGTGCAGGGGCTGGCACAGGCTGGCACAGCATGTCCAGAGCCTGCCCTGGGCACACGCTGGAGAGGACACCGGGCTGGGGGCACACGCTGTCCTTGCCTGGCTGCAGGAGACAGCCTGGCCCTGGCAGGAAGTTCCCTGGGATTTTTCCATTCCCCACACCGCTCCCATGTCTCTGGATCCTCTCACCTGCTGCCCAGCTTTGGGCAAACCCTCCTCTCTCCCTGGGCATTGCCCCCCTTGCCATTAATACCACAGAGATGGGTGATTTGGTGTCCCACAGCACCCCAGCCCCTCACCACCCCATTCCTGGCTCGCAGCCCCTGGGTCTCTCCTCCCCAGTCTCCCTGGTGTGTTTTCCCACCCAGCAGGTGGATTTGGGAGCTCCGGGAAGCTCCAGATATCCATCCCTTTCCCAGCCCCAGCCCCAGCCCGCTCTGCAGGGAGGTGGTAAACACAGGGGCGGGCCAGTGGAGAACAGCCTGGCCCAAAGGGCCAGTTGTTTTCCTGGAGAGCCGATTGCCCAAGAGGCTGGAGCGTGGCCTTGCTGGAAGGCCGAGCACAGGCAGGTCCCAAGCTCTGGCCTGGGCTGATCCCTGTCCCACGCAGGGTTTCTCCCGGGCACGGCTCAGCTGTCAGCTGGACATTCCGGGCTCCTGCCAGCGCCGCCGCACTCGGGCCATGCCCAACCCTTCCCTCATTCCTTGCCCTGGAGACACAGCGAGAAGCAGGAGAGAGCAGCGCTGGCAGCACCCCGAGGTGCCCCCGAGGGAGGTGTCTCACCTGCACACACAGGTGAGAGCCAGGGCAGGGCAGGGGCAGGAGGGGCAGCGTGAACATGGCTTTGGAGGGTGGGCAGGATGTTATTAGGAAGGCTCCAAGCACGGCCCTGGCTGGCGGGAAGGGACGGGAACAGCAGGGACATCTGGCACTGGGGGGCTGCTGGGAACCTCTGGAGCAGCCCAGGGGCTGCAGACATGGGCCTGGGGGCTCCTGGTTCTCCATCGTCCTCGTGGCACCACCAGAAGGCACCAGGCTGGGCAGGAGGGGCTGGTGGTGCTGGGCGGTGTGGAGGGAAACTGGGCAGGGGGGTGAGGGGACCTGTGCCCGTTTCTGTGCTGGGTGGTGGCACCGTGTCCCCTCTCTGGGTGGTGGCACCGTGTCCCCTCTCTGGGTGGTGGCACCGTGTCCCCTCTCTGGGTGGTGGCACCGTGTCCCCGCTCTGGATGGTGGCACCGTGTCCCCTCTCTGGGTGGTGGCACCGTGTCCCCTCTCTGGGTGGTGGCACCGTGTCCCTGCTCTGGGTGCTCGGTGCAGGGCTGGCCTGGGCTCCAGGGCAGCTCCAGTAGCCAGAGCTGTGGACACACAGAGCTCAGCCACGTTCTTGCCTTGCCTGTTAATGAAGCACAAAAGGAACCTGCAGCCCCTGCAGTGCTCAAACTCTGCAGAGGAGCTTTGGGATGCTCTGGGGAGCCAGGTCCCAGAGGGGAAGGTGACCACGAGGTGCAGCACTAAGAGCATGGTTCTGTGCACAGAACTCTTGTTCTTAAAGTGATTTTAATATTCCTGAGGATTTCTGCCACGAGGACCCAGCTGGTTTCCAGGCGAGGGCTCTCTCCCAGGGCCAGGCTGGCTGCGTTTTGCTCCCGGACTCGGAGCCACACGAGTTCCTTTTGGGATGGGCTGGAGTAGGTGCTAATTAAAGATTAGAGAATTTAATCTGCTTGGGGTTTTTTGGCTGGATTTGGAGTTGGGAGTAAATAACCTGCTTAGCTCAGACTCTTCTGATGTTTGGCCCTGAGTGAGAGCAGGGTGTAAGGTGAAGTACCTGGGGAGCAGAGGTGTCCCCAACAGCCTGGGCTTGTACCCAGGCAGAGCTCATCCAGGTCCAGCCCCTTCCATGGGCAGGGACACCTTCCATGGACCAGGTTGCTCCAAGCCCCATTTCTGGAGAAATATTCTCTCTATTCTCCTTCCCTAATACTTTCTGCCTCTCCTCCACCTGCAGCACCTGGGTTGCTTTTCCTTTAGCTCAAGGAAAAATACTGAAGGCTTCTGGTTTGCTTGGAGGACACGGATTTATCTGTAATTCCGTGTATTTTTAGTGACGTAAATATCTCTTGGCATTTGCGATACCTTGAGCCAGTGGAAGTGATTTATTTCAAGTGTCTTGTTTCAGGGGAGCTCAGAGCAGCTCAGTGTTTGTGGGAACATTTATCTGCTCCGAATGGATGAGCTGCTTCCGAATAGAAACTCCCTGAAAAGAACCTCCTTCTCCTCCTGCAAATCCTGCTCCCAGTTTTGCCTGGGAGAAAACATTCAGAGCTTTATCAAAGTGTGGGTGTTTTTCCCCAACTCCCTTCGGAATGCCAAGGTTGCCAAAGCTGTCAGGGGGTTGTGACAGCCGAGTTTCAGCCTTGGACCAATGTCTCTGAAGCAATAAAGGATTTAAGTCATGTTGTGCTCTGCTCCAAAGAGGTGTTATGACAAATCCGTTTGCTTTTGGCTTTTCTCCTTATTTTTGAGGAAGGGAAGAGGGGGGAAAAACCCACACAAAACAAACCACAACAAACCTGCAGGTCTCGAGGCAGAAAATCCTCTTTAAAAATTGTCACAACTTAACAAAATGCCAAATGCTTTTATTAACTCCTGGAAAGGCTCCGAAGAGCCTCTTTCTTCCCGGCTGGAAACTGCTTGGCTGGGGCCTGGCTTTGTTCCCCTGGGTAAGGTAATTGCAGAGCAGGAACTCCTCCCCAAGAATGGAATAGTGGGGGGGGGAAAATCCCACCTTGGGGGAGATAAAGGAGCTGCTTGTGGGTTTGGAGGTAGGAGTGGTTGTTCTCCCCCTCCTCTGCCTTCAGCCCACTCCATCCCAGCTCTCCAGGTGCAAAACAAACCTGGCACCTGCACCAGGTGCTTGTTTGCTCGGGGGTTGACCACAGCAGGAGGGGAAGGGGAGATTCAGGCAGCAGAGATCACAGAATACCACAGAGGTGGAAAGGACCCACAGGGATCATCGAGTCCTGAGCTTTGCCTCCTGCTGTGGGATGGGGAATACTCTGTGTGTCATCGGATCCAGCTCCTGGGTCAGGTTGTACCTGCTGGCTCTGGGGAAGGGCTGAGCTGCCCTCCTGGCAGAGCCCTGGGAGCTGCTGCCCATGATGGGAAGCTGCAGGTCCCTCCAGGAGGTGCCCCCATCCCTCTGCTGTTCCTGTCTCCTGGGTGAGGAGGGGGTGATGGTGCTGCCCTGGTCACATCTGTCCTGTGGGGTTGGCAGAGGTGGTGTTGCTCACCTGGCAACACAACTTGGAGGCTTTCCTGGACAGAAATGGATTTCCAAAGATGTTATTATCCACTGCACTGGGGGTTTGCTGGCAAAACCAGGATGCAAATCATTTTAAGTTTCTTGATAATTCCCTTCTGTCTCTTTTGCCCCCAACAGATCTAAAGTGGGTGTTTGCTGGACTCTGTGTTTCAGGCTGGGGCTCCCTGCCAGCCCCTGGGCACTGAGATCTCATCCCACCCGCCTTCACCCTTGGTGCCTGGCTCTGGTTTTGCAGTGGCTCGTCCCCCCTTCTCACTCCAGTTCCCGATTCCCTCTGTTCTGCAGGTCCCGGCGGTGACAGCCCAGCGCGGGTGAGGATCCAGCGCGGGTGAGGACGCTGCACACCCCGGGCTCGGGCTCCCACCCTCCCGTGCTGCTGCCCAGGGGGATCCAGCCCCCCGCGAGCCCCCAGCCCATGGTGGGCCAGAGCCCCCTGAGCCCGGAGCTCCTGGCCGTGCCCCTGGAGCCCTTCGTGCACCAGGTGGGCGGGCACACGAGCATGCTGCGCTACGACGAGCACACCGTCTGCAAGCCGCTCGTGTCGCAGGAGCTCAGCTTCTACGAGTCGCTGCCCTGGGCCATGCGGCAGTTCACGCCCCAGTACAAAGGTAAGGGGACGTGCAGACCGCCCACCTTCCTAAAAACCGACCCCCGGCAGCCGCCCTGCCACAGGTGAGACCTTCCCAGCGAGCCTCCCCCTGCCCCTCTCTCTGCCCGGTGTCCCCCTTCAGACACCCCCAGCTCTCCTGGCCCTGAACCCCTTTCCCTGCTGAATTTCTCAGCTCAGCCATCGAAAAGCAGCACGGGGTGCCTGGGAGGGCAGTGCTGGTACTTTTTAAGGCATCCTCCCTCCCTCTCTTTCTTGCTCCCTCAGTATTTCTGCTTTTACTGCCAGACTTGTGCTGCTCATAAAGCTCCTGACCCTGGTTTTTGGGGGAGGCGAGAAGCTCAGCTGTCGCGTAAAAACTTAAAATATCTTTTGGTCCTTCGGTGTTAGAGAAAAGAGCTCAGTCAGCCACAGTTCCAGCCCAATCTCTCCCTTTCCCAGAAAGTCAAGGGCCCCTGCAGATTTATGGGACAATATTAAAAAGACGCTTCAGGGAGAAACCAAGTTTCCTCTGGGTGGTTTCCTCTGCAGGGCCGGGTTTGGTGCTGCAGTGCTGGGCCCTGCTGGGTGCCACTGATAAAGCTGTTAAACAGTCCCAGTTTACCAGTCCAGGGCTGCCCTGGTTATTAAAACCTTTTTGTCTTTTTCTCTCCCGTTTCAAATCCCAGAGAGTTTTGTGATGAAGGGTAATTAAATAGCAACTCTCCTCCAATTTGGCGCTGGGCACACGTTTTCTCATCTCCTGACTGTCCCAGGCAATTCAACAGGTGGGGTGTTTTCCCACGAGGATGATGGGGCTGACAGGGAACGATCCCGAGGGTTCCATCACCCCTTTACACGTGTCCGAGTGCCTCATCTCTATTCTTAGGCCCAGGGAGCATTATGTAATGGTTGACATTCTGTGCAGTGGTGATCAAATATCATTCCAGCCTCACCCCAAGCCAGTAGCTCCCTTCCCGCTCACCTCAGCATGTCAGGCAGGTTGGTGACCTTGGGACTGGCTTCCCCCTCCCCATCTCCCTTCAAGTCCTGCCTGCCCCAGCTGAGCTTGGTGGGGGATGCTGGGCTTGTTTTCCAGCCTAGTTCTGCTCAGGCTCCCATTGCACATGGCAGTCAATGAATGTGCTTGTAAATGTAAAAATAAACTCACAAGGGCAGAGCTCCAGAGCAAAACCTCCTGAGGATCCTGGGATGCCACCAGCGTGGCGACAGCACCCATAAATACCCACTGGTGCCTCGCTGGTGCTGGCAGGAGGGGATTGGGGTGTCAGGACACTAAAGGCCAGCACAGACATGCACCCAAATGCATCCCAGAGAGATGTTTTCTTGCTGCAGCAAAGGAGAAGGGCTGGTGCCATGTTTCAGAGAGTTGTTTTACACACATAGGTCACGGCAGGACATGTGCAAACCCATATGGAATCACACCAGGAAACAAAAGCATTTTCCAGGCTGAGATGTAGCTTTTTGAAGCCTGAATTTTCAGCCGGGAGGGGGGAGAGGATCACATTCCCTTCCAATTTAACGCTCCTTCTTGCCTTTGAAAATCTCCCCATTAATTTTCATATTAATGGCAGATACTTAACAACTCTTGGTTTCACGCTATATATAAGTTTTTTGGGCCAGCCTGTCAGCACTATGTAAATGAGCACAGCCCTGCTGACTGAGGCAGTAACTGGGACAGTTTTTAAGGTTACAGGCTGTCGGAGCATTCGGAATCCAGGGCTCCGCTCGCCTCACAGTGACTTTTTAAAAATATAAAGGCTTAGATTTAGGCAAGAGACACACTGGCTTTTTCCTGCCTACATCCCCTGAAAATTCAGACCAGGCCCCCGGGCTGGGAGGAGATCTGTTTGCTCTCAGTAATATGGATTTTTACAAAAGGGACTCAGGGAAAGGATAATGCTGGAGCCTGAGGAAGGCAGAGCTCCCTGTGCCCAGCACCACCGTGAGCAAAGGGTTGGGAGAGCTAAAAATATTACCTGCCCCCTAATTAAGGTTTTCAGACCCTCCATCTCCCCTGGCAGAGCAGCCTGTTGATATTCCTCCCCCATTTCAGTGCAAAATGAGCCAGTTTAATCCAGTCTGTTCACAGTAATGGTGATTGCACAGCAAAAGGAAAGAGAGATGGTTGTGGTGGCTGAGCAGGGGGTGGGAGGGAAGTGCATCCAGCCCAGCTGCAGGGTTCTGGGGGGCAGGACCTGGGGAGGGACGGGCACCCCCAGTCTGAGGGGGTGGCTGGTGGCTGCAGGGACACGGGGCTGCTGCAAATCAGGTGGGGAAAACCTCCCTCAGGCAGCAGAGCCCGGCAGGCACAGAGAGGGCACAGCCTTCTGTCTGTGTTTGCTTTCTGTAATCTCACTTTAAATGCAGAGATGGGATTTTGCATATTTATTTGCTTTGGCACCTTTGCCTGGGAGAACAGAGCGCCCTTGTTTGTTGGGCTGCTGAGATGCATCTCCCTGCACGCCCAGCAGACCTGGGGAGGGTGCCCTGGGCACAGCTGGGTTAAACCCAGCTCCAGCAGGGCTCCTTCCACTGATGCTTTTGCTGGTCCCACAGCCCTCCCTGCCCTCTTTTGGAGCTGGAATCCCCCTGAGCCCCAAAGGGCCGTGCTCTAAATATGCCCCCAGTGCCTGTGGAGGCTCAGCCAGCCCTGACAGAGCTGCAGGAGCAGGATGGTGTTATCAGCCTTTCCCAGAAAGGTCAGGGCTGGCTGGAGTGAGAGCTGTGGCCATTCCTGTGCTGTCACTTGAGAGGCAGAGTCAGCCATCCCCGTGCCAGGAATGGGCTCAGACTGGGCTAAATCCGTGATGGGCTGACTGGCATTTGAGCCCTGTGATTCCTGTCAGAGTCAGGGAAAATTGCAATGCTAAAATTCATAATGGTGTTTTAAGCACTTGGGGTGGAAAAAATACCCCCTGGTCACGATCATGTTCCCTCTAGTGCATAAATATGGGACGTGTGACAATCCTTCCCCCCGTGGGATATTTGGGTGCTGGTCCTTGAGGAAGGACATAACCGTGGCAGTGTGTGGGCAGCACTGCCAGCCCATGCCCACGTCTCTGCCCTGCTCCTGGGGGCTCTCCAGTTAACAGAAGCACTTGGCACACCGAGTGTCTCTGGAAAATTCCTTGTCCCCAACCCTCCCTTTGCTTCCTGCCAATGAAAAGCATTTCCAGCTTTGTCCTGTCTTAAAAAAACCACCTAAATCCCTTGTGCTAAATAAGCTGGGGTCTTGTGGTCCAGAGCTGGGGGCTTTTCTGGGTCACCTGGGGCACAGCAGAGCCTGGAGGAGGACAAAGGAATGTGGTGTGGAAGGAGGCAGGGGCCAAGCTGAGCCTTGAAAGGAGGAACACTCGAAATCCCCGAGGCTGTTTTCCAGGGTCTCAGACTAATGGTGTTTATTGGGCCTGAAATCAGAGGGGGATCACTGTGACAGGCCACCAAACATGAGCTGGGCACCCTCTCCACAAGACTGGGCCTCCTTGGGCTGGTGAGGTGGTGGCCAGGCCTCTGTGACAATCCACAGGTTTGTCTCATTCCTGTTTGTTTCTCCCCTTTCTGTCCAGGTGTTGTCTCAGTGCACCTCAAGAAGGACAGCCTGGGCAACCTGACCCTGGTGGCCAGCCCTGGCACCGAGCACGGGCTCGTCAAGAGGAGCCACACCCAGGGCACCAAGACCTTCCGAGACAGGTGAGGGTCTGCCACGGGTGGGACACTCCCTGCCAGCCTCCTGCTCCTCTCCTGCCACTTGGGTGGGCTGGGGTTTGGGAGGGGTCTGGTGGCCAAGTGGGCAAAAGCAGCCCCAAGGCCGAGGTGGAGAAGAGCAGAGCCCAGCCCGGGGTGTCCATGGCTCTGCTCTTGCCCACCCTGGGGATGGAGCAGAGGGGATCCACAGAGGGGATCCACAGAGGGGCTGTGGCTGAGATGCTGCTGCTCAAATATCTGCCTCAAACAGGCTTTCAGCCCAACTCCTCAGAGCACACCCTGCTCCAAGGGAGGAGCAGCCCCAGGAGAGCAGTCACTGAGCTGGGAACACCCTTCTGCTGGCAGCAGTTGTGCAGCACTCCAGGGGCTCCAGTCCCATCCCGTCCCAGGGGAGAGCTCTCCTGGGAAGGCACCACAGTGCTTCCAGCACACCATGACTTTTGGGTTTGCAGAGGCTTTCTGCAAAACATCCTTCATCCCAAACTGCTTCAGAACTCACCTGGGGCAGCTGTGACTGAAGGTGCAACACCACGACCGTGGAACTGCTGCCTTTGGAGCAATGGGAGTGATGGGTTTTGGAGAGTGAGACCAAGGAATGACCCCCCAAGGAGAACAAATCTCCTCACTGTTCCCTCCTCCCCTCCTTGCAGCCAGCCCCTCTAGACTGGGAATCATTCCCGTTGTTGGACCATTTGCCTGTGCTGTGCCTGTTAGGTGGATAAATAGAGATCCCTGGTCACTGGGGCTGTGAATGGCTTTTCATGGGAGCCAATGCACTTTAAATTATAATGAAAGAAAATATTGGCAGGCAGAAATAGCTGCCTTTCTGAAAATTACTGTTATGGAGTAACAAAGGATCTCTGCAGGTTGGACATGATCAATATGTTTCATTTGAGAGCCCCTGCAAATTCACCTTATCAAGTTTGAGGCTCCACAAAAAAAAATGAGTGAAGGGAATATTCTCCTCTGGAACTTCTAAACCCAATGTGTTCCTTTGTGTGCTTTGCCCAGCTGCTCGGGGAAGGTGCTTTTGAGAACAGACCTTCAGTACCACACAGACTCCCTTTTGGAAGATGCAAATGGAAACCAGCCAGAAAGAAAGAGCTACAACCCCTGGGGACTGCACTGTCACAGGCAGCACCTGAACCGCATGTCCTCCAAGCACAACGAGAACAAACTTCATCGTATCCTTTCTCCTCCCTCCCCTCCAGCACAGTCCTGGCTGCAAATAACAGCCTGGAATCAATGCATGGTGTATTGCAGGGGGACACTCTGCACAGACTCTGGGAAAATACAGAATGTTCTCTGTCATCTTCTCCCACTGCTTAAAAAAAAAAAAAAGCAAAAACCCAGTTCCCATAAAGAGTTCTCAGCAGAAGTCAAGGATCCCCTTGGCATACATTTAAAACCACAACTATGCAGGAATTAGCAGCTGCCTCGCCTTTTATTTTCCTATTACACTCCATTACCCACCAGTCATGTGAGTAATGGAGTTTAACAACTTCCCCCACCCACCGGAGCGAGCTCGGCACCCAGGGAAGGTGTCGGAGTGACAGCCCAGGGCTATGGTGTCACTGGAGAATGGAGCTGCTGGGGCTTTAATTGGTAGGACTGTAGTACAGTAAATTAACTGGAATTGGCAGCGAGAGGCCCATAGCAATGACACGGAGGAGAAATTGGCTCAGAAAGTCTCATTACAGTTGTGAGCTGTTATGGGGAGCGTCAGCAGTTGCTTTGATTTAAGGCCTCTTTCAATTAGAATTCGAAAATATTGGGTTTCCCTTAACTCGTGCCCAGAGTTTCTGTTGCTGGAGAACGTGGTATCCAAGTACAGCTACCCCTGTATCCTGGACCTGAAGATGGGCACACGGCAGCACGGGGATGACGCCTCGGAGGAGAAGAAAGCCCGGCACATCAAGAAGTGCGAGCAGAGCACCTCGGCCTCGCTGGGCGTCCGCATCTGCGGGATGCAGGTAAGGCAGGGCCTCCAGCCCCTTGGGGTCCGCCCCAGACACAGCTTGGAGCCAAGCTGGAAACCTCCAGGGACTCTGCTGCTGTGAACTGAAGCAGTTTTATTCTCTTTTCCCCCCCAACACAGTAAGAACTGGCCACTCAGCTCTGTGAGCTCTCAGAGAGGAGAGGACGCTTAGGGAAGGCTTTAGAATACAGCACATTAGGGTAACTCTTTCCCCATACCACTGCCACCAGTGTGAGCAGCTGGAACCAGTTTACCCCAGCTGAGAACTCACCTGTACATGGACACAGATTCCCACCTCCTGCTCAGCTCTTGGCTGCTGCACAAAAAAAACCCCCAAAAGCACCACATTGCCCTGCTCGTGCCTTCACTGAGCCACCTCGTCCTGGTGCTGCGAGAACCAGGGGCTCATTTTGGGCTCAGTGTGATGGTTTCTCCTGCTTGAAATCCCCCCCTCTCTCCTAGAAACCCAAACCACGCATTTCCTTCTCTCACTCTGCTCGAGCAGGTTCCAAAACGTTCAAAACCCTGCCTGAAGGATAATAACGAGAGTGATGATTATGGGCACATACAGAGCAGCGCAAACAGTGTCAAACCCCACGTCCCTTTGTGGTGTCCGACACCTTTCTGTGAGCAGAGCTGGACTTCAGTGATCCCAGCGGGTCCCCTCCAGCTCAGGACTCCAATCCCTGACCCCGTGGATTCCCGCTCTCCCCCCTGCAGGTTTACCAGGCGGACACTGGCCATTTCCTGTGCAAGGACAAGTATTTTGGCAGGAAGCTCTCCCCGGAGGGGTTCCGGCAAACCCTGCGCCAGTTCCTGTGCACCGGGAACCAGCTGCGCACGGACCTGCTGGAGCCCATCGTCCTGCGGCTCAAGGCCCTGCTCTCCGTCATCAGGAAGCAAAGCTCCTACAGGTTCTACTCCAGCTCCCTCCTCATCATCTACGACGGGCAGGAGCCCAAGGAGAGCGCGGCACCCTTGGATCATCACCTTCCCCTCCCGAAAACACACGGCGCGAACCCCGCCAGGGTGGACGTGCGGATGATTGACTTTGCCCACACCACCTTCAAGGGCTCCAAGAGCAGCCCCACCCCCTATGACGGGCCGGACCACGGCTACATTTTTGGCCTGGAGAATCTCATCAAAATCCTGCAGAGCCTCTCAGAAGGAAAATGAGAATTTCTGTGGAACAGCCTGGATTTCCTAGTGACCGATAGCCCTGCAAATACCGCCCGGGGTCAGCTGGGTGGGACCCCCCGGGTGCTGGACACCCCGTGCCTGGCGTGGAATGAGCATGGATTGCTCGGAAGTGCTGAAAACTCCACATGCCATTACTGAGCTGAAGCGTGAAAAGCAAAGAGCTGGGAGAATCTGCTCCCTCTGCCATCCATCAGAAGATTTATTTTCCTCTCTGGTTTTACTGCTATCCTTGATTTATTTGTGAGCCAAAGAAAGCATTACTTGGAAGAGTCTTAATGATAAGCCAGGACCTGCTCACCCCGACGCTCACGAAGCCGAGCGGGCCGAGGGGATTCTGGGTGTTTGGGGCAGGAATGAACAGACTGCAGTGTTCATTCAGCTCCTGCTCCAGGGGGGAGAAAACCACACCCCAGCATTCCTGCTGCGCCTGCCCGGCGCCGTGGGATGGTCGGGGTTCTCTGTGCAGGGGTTCAAACACACCTTGAGGTGCTGCAGGGAGTCTGTGCAGCTCCAGGAGACCAAGAACTGCCCCCTCACCAAGCTTTGACATCCCTGCAGGGTTATAACAGGGCGTGTTTCAGGAATTTTCTAAGCAAGGGGCTGAAATGCGATGACTCTGTCAGGTATCAGTCACAAAAAACATTCACATCAAGGGATTTTTGCTTAAAAAAAGGAAAAAAATAAAAAGAAAAAAAGTGTGAGACTGAGTCAGGGACTGGACGTCAAAGGTCACCCAGAAATTCTTTGATATAAATATTGTGTGTGTGTGTTTGAAAGAGAGGATAACAAAAGACTCAAAATAATGTTTACAGCTTTTGTGGACAGCTTTTATTATTATTATTATGGAACAAAATATAATTCCTTCCTGCATGATGTGGGAAACCTGAAGGAGAAGTTCCTTGCACAAGGAATTGAGCTACAGAACTCCATTACCGGGGAATGGGGATATAAATAAAATTGTCTGAGTAACTCTCAGTTTCCATCTCTTTTCCCTCCCGCAGCATCCTTGAAGTACATTATCCTTTGTTTAGGCCTGTATTTTTTTAAGAGAGTCGTTATTTCCCCAGGTTTAAACACCAGATCCTAAGGGAGACCCTTCCCTTGGATTTACTGCGGACAGCTGGGGAGCTGCTGAAATTTATAGCTGGAAAATTTAAGACATCTGGCCCAGTTGTGTATTTTACTTGGCTTGAAGTCCACCAGGGAAGACTGTTGTTCACAGTGTTGCATATTTCTTGACCACAAACTCAAGATGGTTGGAAAAAAAAAGCCGCAAACACCCAATTTCAGCAGTGCTTGAGCCATGGATTATCCTGGCTGCACTGTGTGCACCGAGGTCTGTGATCAGAGTGAATTGTGGCTTTGCTGAGGGGTTTGTACAGCCCCACCTGAGCCTCCCTGGACGGGGACACCAGGAGTGACGGCGGGAAGGGTGGGGAAGGGTCTGAGCACGACGCCAGCAGCCAGAGCCCCTTGTCAGCAGAGCACCCCCTGGCTGGGGGTCCTGCCTCACCTGTCGGTGCTGCTGAACAGAAAACAGCTGAATAATGAGACAGAAAGCATCTTGTGTCCTCCTTTCTCACCCCTCATACACCTGCACGGTGTTTGCCACCCAGAGAGGCCGCGGCTGCCCCGTCCCTGAGAGTGTCCAAGGCCAGGCTGGAGCAACCTGGACTAGTGGAAGGTGTCCCTGCTCATGGCAGGGGGTGGGATGAGCTTTAAGGTCCTTCCCAGCCCAAACCATTCTCAGTCCTGTGAGGAGGAGCTAAGGGGGCTGGGGAAGGGGCTGGAGCAGCAGGAGAACTGAGGGAGCTGGGGGGGCTCAGCTGGAGAAAAGGAGGCTCAGGGGGGACCTTCTGGCTCTGCCGGGGGATTCGGGCTCTGCTCCCAGGGAACAAGGGACAGGAGGAGAGGGAACGGCCTCCTGCTGTGCCAGGGGAGGATCAGGTTGGACAAAAGGAGGAATTTCTCCATGGAAAGGGTGGTGAGGCCTTGGAAGGGGCTGCCCAGGGAGGTGGGGGAGTCCCCACCCCTGGAGGTGTCCAAGGAAGGAGCTCTGATCTGCAGCTCCTGCCTGTGCTCCAAACCCCTCACATGCCCCCTGTGATACGAACAGCACCGTGAGGAACCCGTGTGCCATGGCTGCCGGACACCAGGAGGAATTGCTCCACGGATGGAGGGGTCAGGCGTTGGAAGGGGCTGCCCGGGGAGGTGTCCCTGGGCCGGGGGTCCCTCACGGGGGTCCCGTGTGTCTGTGTCTGTCTATCTGTGTGTCTGTGTCTGTGTTTGTGTTTGTCTGTGTGTCTGTGTCTGTGTTTCTCTCTCCCCCCTCAGCCATGGCGGGAGTCCCCGCGGCCCACGTGACCCGGGGGCGCACGTGACGGCGCACGTGACGGCCATGGCCGCCAGCCGGTACCGGCGGTTCCTGCGGCTCTGCGAGGAGTGGCCCGTGGAGGAGACGAAGCGGCAGCGGGACCTGGGCGCGGCCCTGCGGCAGCGCGTGGCACAGGCCTTCCGCGAGGGCGAGAACACCCCGGTGAGCGCCGCGACCGCCGCGGCCCCGCGGGGTGGGGGGGTGGGGGTGGGGGGAGGCCGGCGGTCGCGCTCTCGGGGGGGTTTTGGGCACAAAACGCAGGAATTTGGGGCTCGCGTGGGGCTCCCTCGGGGCTGCGTGGAATCCTGGGCGGGGAGGGACCCTCAGGGAGCGTGGAGTCCATCCAGCCCCTCCAGGGACAGCACAGAGCAGGGCAGGGGGTTGTGTGAGCGCTCAGAAGCCTTGGAAGCACAGACCCCAGTCAGCCACATCCCCTGTTCCTCCACCGGGTTGTACCCGGGACAGGGGTTTGTACCCGGGACAGGGGTTTGTACCCGGGACAGTGGTTTGTACCCAGGACAATGGTTTGTACCCGGGACAGGGGTTTGTACCCGGGACAGTGGTTTGTACCCGGGACAATGGTTTGTACCCGGGACAGTGGTTTGTACCCAGGACAATGGTTTGTACCCAGGATCTCCAGTTTGTGCCCAGGACAGTGGTTTGTACCCAGCCCCCCTGGTTTGTACCCAGTTCTTGCACCCTTTGCACCACATCCTTTGGAGAACCCCATCCCGTGGTTATGGGCGTGGGGCACAAAGCACTGGGAATTGTCAGTGGCCTGCAGGGATGCAGTTAATTGGGGTGATTTCCTTGGCCCCACGCTGGGGTGCTGCAGGGCGGGCAGAGGGAGCTGCAGCACTGCCTGACACTGATGGAGTGCAGTGCCTGTACAATTGAATTCCGCCTCCAGCTGTAATTCTGTTCAGGCTTTGCTGCTGAAATAAATTAGGGAATCTGATGCCTGACTTGGCTGCAGACCTCCCCAGGTGTGGAGGTGTTGCTGCAGAATGTAAATGTGCCCTTTCTTAGCATAAAAACATTGTTCCAGAGATGGCATTTTCGACTTTGAGGGACCATTATAAGCTCCTAATCCTGTATTGGTGTCCAGAATAGTCTGTAAAAGACATTTTGGGAAGAGTTTATTGCTTTTCCATATGCTCAGGACAGCTGGATGTGCTGCACCAGTTGGCTTCAAGATCCCCAAGCTGCCACTCATCCTGGAAATGTGAATTATGTCTGGTGGCAGTTTGTGTGTAGAGAGGCTGAATACAGTGAGGGGAATGTGGGACAGGAGGAGCTTCTGAAAGAGGAGCTAGAGCCATAAGGGCCTCTTTAGCAATCTAATGCCTCTTTTACTCATGTGCAGTAAGATTTGCTGGGGGTGGGATGCTGTTTGGGCCACCCTCTTAATCACTATTTGTGCTGTCACTGCTGGAGCCTGAGCCAGGGCTGTTTGGGATGGGGCTGCAGGACACAGGTGAAGATCACCTGCAGTGGGATGTGGGCACTCCTGCTGGACAAGGAAAACTTTTCATTACTTTTCCTGCTTTGCATCACCCTCTGTGTGGTGCCCCTGTGCCCATGTCCCAGGAGGAGCCAGGCCATTTCATCCTGACAAGTTTCTGTTGATGTTATTTGTGTTCCTTACCTGTTTTAATCATTCAGGTTTGTTGTCGTGGAGCAGCAATGCAGAGTTCTGGACAAGTTGGCCCCATTGTAAAAGAGGAAAAAAACCCCCACCATTGTGAAATAGAAAAGCAGCCATCCACACTGCTGGGCAGGGGCTGTGCCAGGCAGGAGCATCCCTCTGGGACACCTGGCACGGGCTGGGGATTAGCCTGGTCTGAAATAGAAATCCAGTTACCCTTCCCAAGCTGTTATGTGTCATTTGTACTGCTTTCCTTAATCAATTATAGGCTATTTTTAGCCTGCACAGGGAGTTTCTGACTTCCACCTTGTCCTGGCTGGTTCCTTACAATGGAACAGGTGACAGAAGTGGCCTCGGAGCAGGGAGGGCCACAGATTTCACAGCACCAGCCAGGAAACGTGAGAAGAAAGCTGAGCACAGTGTTCTCTAACTGTGTGTTCACACTGATCTGTCAGATTTAGCTGGTGCAGAGTTTAAGGTCTGTTCTGGAAATCCCACGTGTGGTTATTCTTGCAGGCCAAGCTGGTGGGAAGTGGAAGGGAAAGACCTGGAGCAGGACAGCAGGTATCCAGCATCCAGCAGTGCACTGGAAGTCTGCTGAGCTGCTCCTTCACTGCCATTGTCACAGGCCGTGGAAAACAAGGGGGGTTTTGCTGTGGAGGTGTAAAATAACTTGTGTGACACTCGTGTCCCTGCAGATCGCTGACCCCGAGGCCTGTGACCAAATGTACGAGAGCTTGGTCAGGATCCACACCAACTACTACAAAAACAAGGTGAGCTCTGGCACTGGCCATCACCCCTCCTTTGGGGGGAGTCCTGGGAATGGCAAGGTTCCTGGGAATGTCCCAGGGACACATGGGCAGTGGATGCTGCAGTGCCTGGTGCCTGTGCTCACTGAGGGCAGGGCTCTGTGGGGTGGGAGCAGGGCAGTAGCTGGGTGGATAAACAGAATTCCTGGACTAAAAACAAGCTTGAGCTGTGCCAGTTGGGGACATTTGTCCCTCTTTCATGCACCACAAGTAACATGTTTGTGCCTCTCTCCTCTTGCTCACCTGGGAAGTATCCACGGCTGAAAGACACGACCTTCACCGGGGTGACAGTGGAGGATTGCAGGATGATCCTGGCAACAGGTACTGGCTGTGCTTGGGCTGGGAGGGCAGTGCAGGAAGAAGGGAACATTCTGATCTTTGTGGTGCTCATGGCATCTTTTAAACACCCGGAGGTGTTTGAGGAGGAGTAAGTTCAGAAGCAATTGAGGAGTAATTCAATACAGCAGTAACTAATTATTCTACTGAGGTGAAGAGTCAATTGGATTTTGCACTGGCAGGAACAGCAAAGTCTTTCCAAGGGCTCTTTGGGGTCAGACAGCAGGAACTGTGTGAAAGAACCATGTTTGCTCTGTCATTCCAACATGGAGCTCAGCTTCTGTTTCACCATCTCCCAATTCCCTTCGGTGTTTCTTTTGTGTTGGACCTTGGGAGGGAGCCTGTGCAGAAATGCTCTCAGTCACATCCTTTGTGAAGTGCAGAGCTGGAAGCCAGAGCAGTTTTGTTCTGCTCCAGTTGCTAACTTTGATTGCAGTGCGTGGAAAGTGAATATCAGTTGTTGGTGATAAGAGACTCCCTGCATTGATTGGAAGGGAAACCAACCTCGCCTCGGGCCTGGAATGGAAATTCGTTAAGATGAAAAGTCAGAAAAGGAAAAATCTATGGAAGGCAGAGCTGTTTTAAGAGGGTTTCATTCCTCTGCTTTTCTGCTTATCTTCCTCTGCCCCCTCCCTTCTCCCTTTGCAGACATTCTGAAACAGATGGAAGACATGAAAAAAGGGACGTGGAGGAGACTGCGGGAAAAGTTTTCTGCCAAGAAACCTGAAGAGGACTCGAAGTGAGGGCCCAGCTCTCAGCTTCTCCACTGTACATATCCCTGAAGCTCTGTGTG